CAGTGAACGATAGCGAATGACAAGTTAACGACCAATGAATGACCAGTGAACGGTAGCGAATGACAAGTTAACGACCAATGAATGACCAGTGAACGGTAGCGAATGACTAGTTAACGACCAATGAATGACTAGTGAACGATAGCGAATGACAAGTTAACGACCAATGAATGACCAGTGAACGATAGCGAATGACAAGTTAACGACCAATGAATGACCAGTGAACGATAGCGAATGACAAGTTAATGACCAGTGAACGATAGCGAATGACAAGTTAACGACCAATGAATGACCAGTGAACGGTAGCGAATGACAAGTTAACGACCAATGAATGACCAGTGAACGGTAGCGAATGACAAGTTAACTACCAATGAATGACCAGTGAACGATAGCGAATGACTAGTTAACGACCAATGAATGACTAGAGAACGATAGCGAATGACAAGTTAACGACCAATGAATGACCAGTGACGATAGCGAATGACTAGTTAACAACCAATGAATGACCAGTGAGCGATAGCGAATGATACATCAACTGCTAGTGAACTAGTAAACGATTAATGAACTATCAAGATAAACTAGAAAGAAAAATAAGGAAAGGCACTTAGGCTTAGCTTAGGTAAACCGATCGAAGATGGTTACTAGAATTGAGTTGTTCGTATTGGAAAGTAATAGTAGAAACTAAACAACTTATAATTAACGTATGAACGTCGTCAACCGCTCGAATTTTGTAACTAATCAGAAAAACTGTAGGAAATAATAATTCGATGACGTATATTAATGTCGAGACCTGACAATGTGTGTGAGAGAAACCTGGGGGAGGGTCTAGAACACTGAGGGGGGTGAGAATTTGCAGATGAAAGAGATATTGTCAGAGATAATACCTTTTGGAAGAGCAGCTGACCCTGTCATCGAGTTGTCAGGAGGGTAACAGTAAAATAAACAAACTATCTTGCTGAAATAAGGGGTGCACGGAGGAGAAGAAAAGATCTGGTGATGGGGAAGTGGTGAAACTGATGGTGTTCCAATGGAAGAAACATGTTGCAAAATAGAATCCAAGTGATTTCCAGGAAATTTGAGAGGTTGTACAAGAAACGTGAGTCCTGGACGTCAATCTCTATCCATGTCATGTAATTTAAGAGGGCTAATTACAGGTTATTAATTTTGGAATGTTTCACAATGAACTTCTTATACAGAGTTCTATAATATTGGGTTCAACACCGTATCAAATGAACGCCTTGCTGTGTGGTACTTGTTCGAAGTAATGATTAGACAGAGATGTTTGTTCACTAGGTGTCTTTGCTTTGATCTTTTAACTGATATTTTAACTCGTCCAATAATTAATCACTGGTATATATCAATCTCCTAAGCCAACAAGAAGTAATCTTTACGAATTTACTGCTTTGTATTATACCACGATTGTTGCATATAACAATATTAATCACCATACAGTAACAAGTCTTTGGGTAATCTGTCTACGATTGTTGTATGTAACAATATTAAGTACCATACAGTAACAAGTCTTTGGGTAATCTGTCTACGATTGTTTCATATAACAATATTAATCACCGTACTGTAACAAGTCTTTGGGTAATCTGTTTACGATTGTTGCATATAACAATATTAATCACTATAGAGTAACAAGTCTTTGGGTAATCTGTCTACGATTGTTGCATATAACAATATTAATCACCATACAGTAACAAGTCTTTGGGTAATCTGTTTACGATTGTTGCATATAACAATATTAATCACCATACAGTAACAAGTCTTTGGGTAATCTGTCTACGATTGTTGCATAAAGAGGACAGTAACAGTGTGGATCTTGTATATCTGATCCAGAGTTTGACTAAGAGGACAGTAACAGTGTGATTCTTGTATATCTGATCTAGAGTTCCGAGAACCATAGTTAACGATTACATTATCACGACTCTATGTGTACACTGTGTAACTGTTTCAGATATGTCAGTCCTGCCACGTAACTTCTTGCAGCAAATAAACTCTGTGCAAATATTTGGCTGTTGCTTCAACTCGGAATACTAAACTGAATATTAAATAGTGATGAGTTAGAGTTACTCGTGTAGTGAACAAAAAATCTTTGTGTTGACAGAAAGTCAGAGTTTTCACCTTACAAATATCATCGATCGGTTTACTTTCTCCTCATTGGTCTGCTAGTCGTTACTGGTAACAAGATTCCCGAAATTTCCTTTTTCTTTACTTTTGTTCGACTTGCTCTGTTTACCAGTACTGAAATCAACCCTCTTCTGAATTTGTGGATAAATGTGATTGAGAAACCTTTCTTCGTAAATTACGAGACAGGGTAAAATAGGATTACGGAAACAAACTGTAGCTATCACGTAGAAGAATGTAGACAGATTACCCAAAGACTTGTTACTGTATAGTGATTAATATTGTTAAGTCAAACTCTAGATCAGATATACAAGATCCACACTGTTTCTGTCCTTATGATGAAACCTGTAGTATGTGACGTCACTGTTTACAGCATTAAAACTGTAGTTCAAATGTACAAGATCCACACTGTTTCTGCCCTCATTATCAAACCTGTAGTATGTGACGACACTGTTTACACCATTAAAACTGAATTTCAAATGTACAAGATCCACACTGTTTCTGTCCTCGTGATCAAACCTGTAGTACGTGACGTCACTGTTTACACCATTAAAACTTAAGTTTAAATGTACAAGATCCACACTGTTTCTGTCCTCGTGATCAAACATGTAGTACGTGACGTCACTGTTTACACCATTAAAATTTAAGTTTAAAATGTACAAGATTACACCGTCGGTGTTTTGACTATTGAAGCTGTAGTTCCACATTAAAACTGAAGTTTAAAATGTACAAGATTACACCGTCGGTGTTTTGACTATTGAAGCTGTAGTTCCACATTAAAACTGAAGTTTAAAATGTACAAGATTCACACTGTCGGTGTTTTGAACTACTGAAGCTGTAGTTCCACATTAAAACTGAAGTTTAAAATGTACAAGATTCACACTGTCGGTTTTTTTGACTATTGAAGCTGTAGTTCTACATTAAAACTGTTTCTGTTTTGTTAATAACAAACTATTTGTTCAAGTAAATTAGTTTTTCTTTCTGTAGACTCACCATAAAGGCAGACTGTCCTATGAACCTGGAAAACTTTCCAATGGACATGCAGCGCTGTCCACTGCGAATTGGAAGCTGTAGGTTGTTTTTACTAGTCAGTGTGTAGTGTAGATTACTGTCACTTTACTCAATTGTTCTGTGTGTAGTGTAGATTACTGTCACTTTACTCAGTTGTTCAGTGTGTAGTGTAGATTACTGTCACTTTACTCAGTTGTTCAGTGTGTAGTGTAGATTACTGTCACTTTACTCAGTTGTTCAGTGTGTAGTGTAGACTACTGTCACTTTACTCAGTTGTTCAGTGTGTAGTGTAGATTACTGTCACTTTACTCAGTTGTTCAGTGTGTAGTGTAGACTACTGTCACTTTACTCAGTTGTTTAGTCTACACTACACACTGAACAACTGAGTAAAGTGACAGTAATCTACACTACACACTGGGTGTCACTTTACTCAGTTGTTCAGTGTGTAGTGTAGATTGCTGTCACTTTACTCAGTTGTTATTGTATGGTGTAGACTACTGTCACTTTACTCAGTTGTTTATTGTATGGTGTAGACTACTGTCACTTTGCTCAGTTGTTTATTGTATGGTGTAGACTACTGTCACTTTGCTCAGTTGTTTATTGTATGGTGTAGACTACTGTCACTTTGCTCAGTTGTTTATTGTATGGTGT